GCACAGTGGGAGTGTCTCTCACAGAGTTCTCTCTAGAAATTTACAGGAAAACTCTGTGAGATTTGGCTCCTATCGCGTGCCTATCTAGCAAAACATGAATTGTTGATTTGACTGGGCTTTAAATATCCCACGCTGGTGCCAGCATCTGCCACCTTCAGGCACCAAGTACAGCTGGCACAGCTCCTTAGCGCTGATGTTGACATCCGGTTGGGCCCTCCTGCCAGAGCATCTCTCCAGCTTTATGCTTAACCAGCAATGGTGGCTGGATCTGGGAAGCCACTAGGTGACAACTATACTTTGGAACTCCTTGCCACTACATATGAGGAAGTCTCTTGCCTTTTCAGGATGTGGGTGGTGCTGTGGTCTTAACCACAGAGCCTAGGGCTTGCCAATCAGAAGGTCGGCGGTTTGAATCCCCACGATGGGGTGAGCTCCCGTTACTCGGTTCCAGCTCCTGACAACCTAGCAGTTTGAAAGCATGCTAGTGCAAGTAGATAAATAGGTACCACTCCGGTGGGAAGGTAAACGGTATTTCCATGCACTGCTCTGGTTCGCCAGAAGTGGCTTAGTCATGCTGGCCACATGACCCGGAAGCTGTACACCGGCTCCCTCGGCCTATAGAGCGAGATGAGTGCCGCAACCCCATAGTCGTCCGTGACTGGACCTAACTGTCAGGGGTCCCTTTACCTTTACCTATTGCCTTTTCGGTGCCTGTTGAAGACCTTTCTCTCCCTGCAAGCCTTCTTTTATCCAGTGCAATTTTTTTCTAGAAAAAGAGGTGCCGGAACTCACCACGAACGCCTCCCTTATTCTCTTATAATGGCAATGGCACCCACCTGAGAGGTGCTGAAACTGAGTTCTGGTGAGTTCTGGCTGCAAAAAAGCACTGCTTTTATACCAGTTGGTCTCTGGACTGGATCTAGACTTGTTTCTCAGGCATTTGAAATTGTACGGAGTTGTACAAATCAACAAGCGTCCGCTCCGTGTTACAAACACATGTGCATTTATCCAGACAGCTTGTTCCTGTGTTCAGTGTAATGTGTGAGCAAGCCTATAGCAAAGGTGATGGGAGCTGGGAATACAAGATCAGGAGACCTGTTGGTTCCCCATCCCTGATACATTGAACGGTGTCTTATTCCTCCAGAAGTATAACATTTTGTAATTCTGATTTTAGCTTGGCTGGTTCATGCTGTTTGTTTGTTTGTTTGTTTGTTTGTTTGTTTGTTTGTTTGTTTGTTTGTTTTGGGTTGCAGCTGCTGCTGTTGGGTGGTGGTCATATTTTTCTATTATAATTTTGATTGCTGAAAGGAGGGTTGCACACATCACCACTAGTGAAACTTGCAATTGCAGGCTCAGAAAATATTTGCACCACTAGATGGCGCCACAAGAAAAGGCAACGGAGCAAGCATCTCTTTGTCATACTACTATTTACTACTGGGTAATCATTGCCATTTATTTTCAACTGGCCTATTCCAATGCGTTGCACAATAGGGAACAACAAAATAAGTTTTCCCTTTGCTTTGTCCCTTTGCAACAAAAAATGGGTCATTTGCTAAATGTAGCTTCCTTTCTAGTGGCACAAAAAGAGAGTCAGTTTTAAAAGATGGCAACTGTGCTTTCCTTCTAATCAACTGAAATAGAGTGTTCACATCAAAGGAAGTAATAGTACTGCTCTATTCATGCTTTGATGAAACCACACCTGGAATACTGTGTCCAGCTCTGGGTGCTACAATTTAAAAAGGATATTGACAACCTGGAACATGCGCAGAAGAAGGCAAGCAAGATTATCAAGGCTCTGGAAACCAAGCCTGATGAGGAATGGTTGAGGGAATTGGGGAGGGCGCCATCTTTTCTGTTATCTCAAGCACTGCCAGCTCTACCATTAGGCAGGTTGGGGCAGCCACCACCATTGGCAGATACTGAGAGATAGGGGCTTCCCCCTACTATTCCCCTAAACTCACCTGCCCTGCAACCCCTATCACAGTCTAATATTCTCAGATTTTGTGGAGGATGAATCCTTGTCAACCCAGTTGGGTTTTCTATGAGGAATTAGAGGCTGCCATCTTGTCCTTTGCATCAGACAGCAAAATATCTTGGGCTGCCTCTGACCTCGGGCAGCAAAATACCTTGAACAAGATCGGATGCTGGTTATTATTATTAATTAAGATCTACACACAGCTTCCTCATAGCTAGTTATCAACATCCCCAGTGTTACTTGTCTGCGTATGGGTGGTTGAGGGATGATTCTGTTGCAGGCTTCTTCTTAATTAAGGTCCCTCTATATACTTAAAGGTAAAGGAACTCCTGACCATTAGGTCCAGTCGTGGCCGACTCTGGGGTTGCGTGCTCATCTCGCTTTACTGACCAAGGGAGCTGGCGTTTGTTCTCAGACAGCTTCCAGGTCATGTGGCCGGCATGACTAAGCTGCTTCTGGAAAACCAGAGCAGCGCACGGAAACACCGTTTACCTTCCCACTGGAGCGGTACCTGTTTATCTACTTGCACTTTGATGTGCTTCCGAACTGCTAGGTTGGCAGGAGCAGGGACCAAGCAACGGGAGCTCACCCCGTCGCGGGGCTTCTGATCGGCAAGTCCTATGCTCTGTGGTTTAACACTGAGTAAATTATAAATTATTTGTGAATTATAAATAATTTGTAAATTATTACCATGCAGGGTTGTTGTAAGTGGATATAACCTGTTACATTCTTACATCACATGAGCTCCTTGGAGGAAGGATAGAATACTTTGCTTTTGTTTAAGTAAGAAAAAGCGGAGAACTATTATTTGAAAGTATTATTCAGTGATCAATGGGGCTCAAAATGAATTGCATGTTTTACGTGACCTTGGATTCACTTATGGTCTTCAGAAGACTGGATGAAAAGCTTCAAGAGAACCTGAAAACTATTAACTAAATGCTATCAACAAAGGGAACCAACAAATTCCATTGCTGTGGTTGTGGGAACTCCTGTCTCTTAAGCAATGGGAATGAAATGTCCTTTCTAGTCCCTATGAAAATGACATAATTAACTTTGCAATTGAAGCTTTAATTTTGGCACTAAAGGACGGACCTTTTAAGGGTGAAAAAGCAAAAGCAGAACACTTTAGTAACTTTAGATCCCAGGACAGTGAACAAAACCCATAGCTAGCATGCAAGACAGACCAATGAATAGGGGGAAGGGATTGAAAATTGCCTGCGAGAATGCCAGGCTATATTCAATTCCTACAATGACGTCCATTCCAGTTCTGTCTCCTAAGAACTCACTCCTGGGGTAATTGTTCAGCAGAAAGGCACTGCGGTCCCTGACAGGTGCAAGAAGCTATTCCTCTTGGGAGCTATCCAAACTCACAGGTCAGGCGTAATCTTCTCACAGGAATAAGCAGAGGAAATAGGTCAGGCCTTGGACTGATCCCTCCGGAACCGCCCAACGACCTGGGGAAAATGTGCTCAGTGCAATCTACCCAACGGCAAACAATTGTGGCATTGCACCCCTTCCCCATCTCGAAGTGATGAAATTTCCAGGCCATCATGGAAAACAAACAAAAGTATGAATTGCAATGCATTGCATCCTGATGTTGCTACCGAATTGATGAATACTACCAAATTTCAGGCTGGAACATAGGAAGCATCCTTAAACTGGGTCAGGCTATTGATCTGTCCTGCTCAGCATCATAATATTGGGTAGAAGCAGTGCTTTCCTGTTAAGCGTAATTGTTTAGTTGTTTAGTTGACCTTGAAATGGAAATAACTCTCTCTGTGTTTGAATGTGTGTTGTTGAAAGTTTAACTGGAAAATTCCATTGGGGTATATATATCCTAAAGCGAAGAAGGGCTCTCTAAGCACCTAGATGGGTTGATAATAAACTGTTGGTGTTCTCTGTTAGCTCTCATGTGGTGTTTAACCTTAGGTCTTGTGAGAGAGGTGTTCAGTTGCAAATTGCCATCTTGGGGAATTGGTCCTTGAGTCCTTCGCTGGGAGTCGCAGAGAACAGAGGATGTGCTTATGAGGTCTCTCTCCTGAAGAGAAAACAGGCTAATGGAGTCTGTGTGGAGAGAGACAGACCTCTGATTCTAGGTCTGTTGGGAGTAATCTAATATTTCTAAGAAGTTGAGCCTATGCCTGCACAAACATATGACTGTATGCAACTATTTGGATGATTCATTATTTGATTTTGTATCTGCTTTGAATAAAGTTGTGCGAGTGAAACTTTTGAATTATGGGTCTGGATAATTTTTATTCCAATAAGAGTCAGTTTTTAGGCATATAAAGAGTCAGTATTTAAGGCAATAAGAGCTAGTTTTTAGCCGTTTCAGCTACTTCAAGCTGTGCAATATTAATACAGTTGTACTTTGGAAGTCGAATGGAATCTGTTCCAGAAGTTTGTCCAACTTCCAAAGCATTCAGAAACCAAAGTGCAGCTTCTGATTGGCTGCAGGAAGCTCCTGCAGCCAATCAGAAGCTGTGGAAGCCCCGTCGGATGTTCGGGTTCCAAAGAACGTCCACACACCGGAACACACACTTCCGGGTTTGCGGCGTTTGGGAGCCAAAATGTCTGAGTACCAAGGCATTCGGGATCCAAGGTACGACTGTATCTGCAATATTCCCCTTCCCTGCCCTTGTTGAAATACCTTGATAATAGTGCCGTGGGTGCCAACACAAAATGGCTGTCATGGGCAGTGGGGAAAAGACATGGCAGAGAAGAACCATAGCTCAGTGGCAGATCATCTGCAATGCAAGCAGAAGGTCCCGAGTTCAAGTCCTGGCATCACCAGGTACAGCTGAGAGAGACTCCTGGCCGAAACCGTGGAGAGCTGCTGTCAGTCAGTTTGGCCAATACAGAGCAAGATAGGCCAACGGTCTGACTCCGTACAAGTCCTAGGTTTCTATGTTCTCCATACCATTCAGTACCAGCACCAGGTAGATCTGTGAAGCAGAAGGCATCAGTGAGCTGTCACTGGATTCCTGAGTTTCCCTGCTGAGCTTTTCCTTCTTTTCTTACCCAGGTCTTTGCCCAGAACATCACCACGACCACGACTACCATGTCACCCCCTGCCACCTCCACCGTGACCGAGGCTTACGTGCGGACGCAGTACTGTAAGTGGCCGTGCGAATGTCCGGAGATGCCGCCCGTCTGCCCGGCGGGCGTCAGCCTGATGACCGACGGCTGTGAGTGCTGCAAGACATGTGCCAAGCAGTTGGGAGAGAACTGCACAGAGGCGGACACTTGCGACGTCCACAGGGGGCTGTACTGTGACTACAGCAGAGACAGACCTAGGTACGAAATAGGAGTGTGTTCACGTAAGTGATGTACCTCTTTCTTTTTGCAAGAGATACGGGTCATGGTGCTTCCTGTCGGTCTGAACGTGTCCCAGGTTGTTTCTTCTCTTAAAGTAGACTGTGAAAGGCAGGATATTCAGTGGTACCGGTCTTGGCTACCGGTCAAGACCTAGATTGGCTCCCAGTACGTTTCTGAGCACAATTCAAAGTGTTGGTGCTGACCTTTAAAGCCCTAAACGGCCTCGGTCCAGTATACCTGAAGGAGCGTCTCCACCCCCATCATTCTACCCGGACACTGAGGTCCAGCGCAGAGGGCCTTCTGGCAGTTCCCTCACTGTGAGAAGCCAAGTTACAGGGAACCAGGCAGAGGGCCTTCTCGGTGGTGGCACCCGCCTGTGGAACGCCCTCCCACCAGCCCTGTTTAGGGAAGCTTTTAATGTTTGATGCATTACTGTATTTTAATATTGTGTTGAAAGCTGCCCAGAGTAGCCAGGGAAACCCAGCCAGATGGGAGGGGTATAAATAAATTATTATTATTATTATTATTATTATTAATAGTAGTAGTATTAGTATACCTCGGTTTTTGAACGTCTCCGTTGATGAACATTTCGGTTTTCGAACGCCATAAACCCGGAAGTAAATGCTTCGGTTTTCAAACACGCCTCAGAAGTCGAACATGCCACGCGACTACTGCTGAGTGCAGGATCCTGAGGCCTAGCTGTTGGCTATTGAGTTTTCAGTTTGCAAATGTTTCAGAACTTGGTCTTCCGGAACGGATTGCGTTTGAAAACCAAGGTGCCACTGCAAATGCATTAAATAAAATAATAATAACCACAGCAATGACGTTGTGAAGCATTGTCAGGGTTCAGTTAGCTGGGCCACCACTTTGTGATCCTTTGCTTCTGGATTTGCCTTGTTCCACTCTAGCAACATCTGGTGAGGTTGTTCTTTTTCTTTATGCCAGAGGTTTTCAACCTTTTTGAGTCCACAACTCCCTTCACCAACTACATTCTTCCTGCAGCACCCCTGTGGGGCCCAGGAACCCAGTTATGTCATCTCTTGCCTGCAAAGCCAGTAGCCTCTCATCCTTTTTTGAACACCCTCCCTTGTGGAGTGTTCCCTCAGCCCCCTATCCTTGGGAGTCTTCTAATGGTAAAGGTAAAGGAGCCCCTGACCATTAGGTCCAGTCGTGGCCAACTCTGGGGTTGCGGCGCTCATCTCACTTTATTGGCCGAGGGAGCCGGCGTACAGCTTCCGGGTCATGTGGCCAGCATGACTAAGCCGCTTCTGGCGAACCAGAGCAGTGCACGGAAACGCTGTTTACCTTCCCGCTGGAGCAGTACCTATTTATCTACTTGCACTTTGACATGCTTTCAAACTGCTAGGTTGGGCAGGAGCAGGGACCAAGCAATGGGAGCTCACCCCGTCGCGGGGATTCGAACCGCCAACCTCTGATTTGGCAAGTCCGAGGCTCTGTGATTTAACCCACAGTGCCACCCGCGTCCCTGTTTGCAGAAAGATAGAACAATAAAATCAAGAAAAAGTCCTAGGCGGGTGTCTTCTAGGCAGCTGTAGCTGCCGACCCTTGTTCTCTCAGCTGCCCACCCCACACCAAAGAGAGGTGCCTCCTCACACTGCCCCACAGGGCCCTGGGAAGCACCCCCTGGGCCAGCCCCAGAGGCACCATTTGCATGGGGAGCTTGCAGCCAGGGCTGCTGCAACAAACAGCTGGGCAAGCTTTTGGGAGGCAGAGACGTGAGAGGCTATCAGAAGAAGGAAGGAGAGACAGAGGCCAGTGTTGCCCACAATACCCCTATCATTCAAGGCACCCCAGGGTGTCACGGCAAACTGGCTGAATACCACTGTTTTATGCATTTTCTAATTTTCATTTTACACCATACATATTTCATCTGACATTGTTTCTGCGCAGATTTCCCAACCTGACCTTCAGTGGCATTCTAATAAAGCCTTAATTTGCTGCATCTCCATTAATTTCTCCACCCTTTTAAAATTCCCGTCCTTTCTTACCCCTACTTGCAGGTTTACTGTAATGTCATTTCTTTTTAGATATTCTATAGGGTATTCCCACTCCCCACTCCCTTGTCTTCCTCTCGTCCCGGTTCCTTATTTTGGCTGTCATGTTTGCTAATTCTGTGAGCTCTATCAATTTGTACAACCATTGCTCTTCTGTATTTTCATCTTTTCACGCTTCTTCTTTTTCTTCTTAGCATCATTTCTTTGCTGCTTTGGGTGGTCCAGCTCTCGGTTAAATTCAGACCAAAATATTTATTGTACGCTGTTCCAGAAAATTCAAGTTCCCAACCAATTTGTAAGGTTTGAGGTTACACAGTAAACACTCCAAGTGTCGAAATAGGA